GGTCCCAGAGTGTGGCTGTGCTGTGACAGCTTTGGCACTGTGCTGCAGAAGGAAGAGACAAAGACAAAAGAGAGGGAGGCTCCAGCTGCTACCCTGCACTCAGCACAAGGAGGCCATTGCTCAAACCAGGTATCACCAAGGCTTCCAAAATCCCTACAGCTGGGCAAACACCTCCCATTTAAACACAAGTTAATTGAGAGGGCATTTTCTGCCTGCCCCAGTACTACAGCTGCCATCTGTCCCAAGCTCTGCAGCGGTTCAGTTGGAGGTACAGTGCGACCCAGCAGGGAAAGCAAAACTTACTGCACTCTCCTGAAAGGGCAGGGTGGATCTCCATCTGCAGGGTGTGGCTGCTTTGAGATGGAATTTGGTTGGGACTTTGGGGTAACAGCAGGAGTCCCGTGATGTTCATTCTGGAAAGGTGAGGATGTTGGGTTTACATTTTTTTCCAAAAGGTTAGCAGTTGTGGAGAGCCTAATCATTCTGGCATGTCAGCCTGTGCTACCTAGGGGGAAGAGCACCACCTTCTGAATTACCAAGTCAAATCAACTGTAGCAATCAACTTCTCCTTCTAAGTCCCCATCCAAAAACAAACAGGCCCAACCCTGCTTAACTTATGAGATCATAGCCCAAGGCAGTGCAGCTCCCTGAGACACCACTGCCTCACCCATCATCTACAAACATCACTTGTGCAGGGATGGATCTCTCCCAGATTTTACATACACAGAGATCTCCGACCAATGGCATGAGCTCACTAGAAAGTGCCTGCAGCACCTCTCTGAGGTGGTAGGCAACCAGCAGAGCCATGGAAATAAGGACAGAGCAGTGGAGTCATCAGGAATGTGTCCTGTGTGGGTCTCGTACTTCTCCTGGGTGACTGGAAGAGAAAACCTCTTGCCCTAACTGGTGTTTGTCATTCAAAGCTGCCTTTTGTGAGCCTTTCCACACCAATGCTTTGCTGCTGCTCAGTTCCACTCGGGGTAACAGATTCATCTTCTCACCATCACCTTAGAACCCATTTGCACTGTTAAATTGCTAAAAGAAATTGGATTTCCCTCGATACTTTCAAATCAAAGCTGCTGGAACTGGAGATCTTTCTTTTGTTAGGGCATGTTACTAACCTTTAATGTGTTTCTCAAGTGCATAAGCCATACCTTTCACTTCATAAATCATTGCCCTACAATTCATGCCTGGCCCATTGCTGAAGCAAAAAGTTCTCATTGACTTTTTCTTGAATCTGGACTTGTCACATATTCAGTTCTCTGACATCAGTGTAGGAACCTTCACCACTGCTAGCAGAAGTAACTTTGTCAACCGGCATCTTGTATGTGACAAAACAGGGCTATGACAAGCTGCAGAGGCTCGTGAAAGGTCAGAATGTGGCTCTACCTGACATCAGAAGGTCTGAACTGAGCTGATATGAGAAGGTCTGAATTCTGCACACAAGAAAGCTCTTTAACCACTTCCTACCAACTTTTTTTCCATCAGATGCTTTGCAATACAGAATACATGAAACAGAAAGGATAGGAGGAAAATAAATATTAACGTCCTAGACAGAGCAAAAGTTGTAGCTGGTAAGCATTTCATAAATTGCATCATCTTGGGTGTTCTGCTTTACAGTCTTGATCCTGGAAATTAGTTCCATTCAATAGTTCCACAAAGAAAATCACATTAAGTAATTGACAATATGTATACCACTTCTGCAGGCAAAAAAAAAGCAGCTAAGATAAGCTGACATTATATAGAAGAGAAGATCAAAAGTCAAAATTGTCTTGATAATTTCTGAAAATTGGAGATGAGGGGGTTAAATTTAATAAAAATCAGTGCAAGATACTATGCTTGTAAAGGCATCCTTCCTGCCTGCTCAGCACAGGTAAGGCTCGACTGGTGGATTGCCTGTAGCCTCCCTCACCTGTCAAGAAAGATGTGGACAGATCAGAGTCCAGGGAAAAGGAGAGATTTGGGAAACACCATTGCCAGCAAAAACATGAGCTGGGGTGTTTAGGCAAGGGGAGAGATGGTTAAAGGAACAAGAGGGACACTCTCAGCTGTGGAAAAGGCCATGCAAGAAAGGGCTTCCAATCAACCCTCCTTCAGTGGCTGTATGAAAAATTCACTTTTGATTCCTGGACTCATTTCTATAGCAACTGCATGCTTTATGGTTAAGAAAGAAGCGTGAAATATAATTTAAGGGTAATCTAAAGGTTAAAGAAGTTGAAGTTAAAAAAACACTGAAAAAAAAAGTTTGTCTTATGTCATGATTTGGCTTGTGTTGGATGAGAAGATCCAGAATTTTTGTTCACCATTTGGCAATGCTTGCTTGCTTCCCTAAAGGGTTTTTAAATGGCTCCAGCATTTTATCAACCATATTACCTCTTCCATTGTCAATGTTTTCATTGACATAGCTATCTTGAGCCTTGAGCATCTTTCCAAAGTGCCCAGGCTGTACAGGGGCACGGAGACCTTCTGCCTATGGTATTGCTACTCAGCATCAAGTTTCTCCTTCTCTCCCTGCAGCACTTTGTAAAACTCAATTTGATTTGCTCTGCACTGACCTATGTTGGTCTTGCAGTGCTCTTCACCTCCCAGATTTCACTCTCTGTGCCCTGCAAGCATCAGCATCCAGAGTAAATTTTCCCTCCAGCTATGAGCTTGGCTTTCTGTCAGAGCAGCCTCATTTTCCTACCTTCATGCACACTTGCATTCCCTTAATCAAGAGCATGAACTTCCATTACACAGGAGAGTTTAAATGACAAGTGTTAATGTAATTTTTTTAACCTATTCTCATTCAGTAAGTGCCTTACTTCCCTGCAGACCAGGCACTGCCTCCAGCCTACTCACAAAGCTGTGCCCTTACTGACACCAGCATCTCATTTTTATCCTGATTTTCAGCTCCTTGTAGACAAAAGAAAAAAAAAAAACAGCAACTTGTGTGGATCACATCTAAAACCACGTGCATAAGTTCAAAGATAATTAGCCTTTTAGCTGCTAAATGCTGTGCAAAGCACACATTTAACAGCTAAAACTGATTTTAATCTTTGCTTAATTCTTTTGCCAGAGTCCCATTCACAGTGAGGCAGCTGTCTAAATATCTCGGCCCCTTGGGCTGAGGAGACAGAGGAGCCTCTTGCAATGCTCGTGGCTGACCTCAGCTGGCTTCTCCCACCGAGAGCTGCTTCCAACTCACTGGGGCCAGAGGATGCCAGTGGGGCTAGAAGAAATTCTCTCTTTCCTCACTTCAGGTAGCCCATAATAAAGTAAAAAAATTTGGTAATAAAGTAAAAATCTGGGTAGAGAGAGTGGAAAGAATAATGCAATGTAATGGCTATATTTGTGATGAAATACATGGATTTAATACCCATTGCCTTCACACTTGCCAGGCACGAAACCACCAGTCACTGCATCCTTTGGCCTCTATGACAGTAAAAAGAGTCTCCCCTTTGAGTGAAAAAAAACCCTGAAAAACCAGAGTACAACTGCAAACAGTGGGACAGTCACATGACTGTACCCAAAACTGGGGTTTGAGTGATGCTTTTTCTTTCATAACACCTTGTCTAAGCTTTGCCTTGCCAGAAGTGCCTGCTTGTAATTATACTCCTTAAAAATAAGTAAACAGAATATTTTTTTTTAATAATTTCAAATTGCCTTCTGTGAAATGTGGTTCGACATTGGTGCTTCCTACATCCAGGAGTGTTCACACATCCACACAAAGGGAGGACACCAGGACCCAAAACCAGAAAATAAATTAATCTTTCCCCTGCAACAAGCAGTACCTTACCCCAAGGTCCATTTACTCCAACGTCTTAATATTCCCCAGTATTTAGGGAACCAAGACATTCCTGTGTAATCAGATGATTACTCCTGCAGGTGGAAATGTAAGGGACTGGGATGGGAGGGAGCTGAACGACAGAATATGCCTGTGCTGGTGATGGGATGAGAAAATATGCTTTGCTCCTTCTCAAAAAGGCTGGTGCACTCCTCAGCTCCAGATCAAGACTAATTATCATGTAAGGATTAAAATGCTCATTATGTCTTGTTTTTTTAATTTTCGCTTGGCCAATTTCTCTCTTACTGGCCATTGGGTTCTAAAATATAGGAAGTGGCATTAAAACTGCATTATTTTCAATATGTTCCTGACATCTCATCAGGCAAGGGTTTCTGCTACCATCGCTGACCAGTTCTTTGCTCCTTCAGAGCCTGGGAAACCACGGGTTTGTGCAAGGAAAGGAGATGAGAACCATGAAAAAGAGCTGGGAGAGGACACAAATTGCAAGAGACATTTGGAAAGCAAACAGTCACCACAAGACGAGATTTTCCTTTCAGGCCTCTGTTCAGACGGTCTAAATTGTCAGTGAGTCCCTCTGCCAAATATTTCCCAATGGGTGGCTCTCAGTGGCTCCCTGCTCAACACCACACTCAGAGACTTCGGAAAAATTCAAAAGCCAACACCACACTCAGAGACTTGGAAAAATTCAAAAGCCTTGCAAATGGCAGGGATTTTTATTTACCTGCTGTTTACCTGGGCTGCACAGTGAGCTGATGGACTGCACAGCACTTTGAAGTGGGAAAGCTCCAGACAGAGAAGTATTAGAGTTAGTGATGAAAATTATCATGAAGAAAAGGCTATTTTTATTTTTTTACCAGGGTTTCTATAAATGCAGTATCTCCAGGCCTAAAAGAGTGTTAGCTCACACAAGGATTATAAAAGACTGATGTTGAATAAAGAGCTAACAGGACTCAAATCACACCTAAGAAATAATATAAAGGTTCATCTAGAAACAGAGATATAAAAAATAACAAATCTATTTGGTATCCTTCAGGTTTGCCTGCAAGCCTTACAGTCACCTTCATAAGAGTTCACACCCACACTACGATTATACAAGTCCTCTTCTCTTGCAAAATCAAACAAAACCCAGTCTACCACAAGACAGGTAATAAAACCATGAGAGTGACAGCTTTGTGTTTAACAATGTTACTTTTCCCAATTTGATATACCTTCTCCCAGCTGGCTCATCCAGGAAATTCTACCCTTTCCTTCTGGAGTAAGGCTGGTGGTTGCTGAAGGCCTCCTACAGCTTACCAATGGTCTCAGCATTTTCAGATACAGCTTCAGATCAGTGTTCTCAGCTGGAAGGATAAAAAAAACCAAATAAATCAAACCACAACCAAAAAGCTTCCACCCCCTGGCAACCCAGAAGAAAGCTTATAGTTGTTATATTCATCTGCAGGATGTGAACTTTCCATGTGCTTACTGATTTCTCTTATTAAGCAATCATCAAACACTGATAGGATTTTTTTTTTTGCAGGAAATGGGAGTACAATGTGTTCATTAAAAAAAAAAAAACCCAACACCAGTAGAGCAGGCAGCCAGTATAAGCCACTTGACATTTCAGGAAATTAAGTTATATTGTGGTCCCAGCTTACAAGTTCAGCAAGATGCACAAGAGAACTCCTTGGAGACCTGCTGTGCTTTCATTTCAGCAGTGATGGCCACACAGGCTAATTGAGGGCAGGAGCCACATGTGCTCTGTCACAGCCATCCTGCTGCCCTTCCTGTCCCACACTGCTCACAGCTGGCATGCCCCAGCCAGCTTTCTCCTTTAGCTGCTGAGCATGCTGTTCTGGGGGTGAGGGGGAGAAAAAAAGAGAGGATTTGGAAGGTCAAAAAAAATCCAGTGAAAACAATAATAAAGATTCAGAGAAAATCTCAGACCTCTGCCAAACAGAGCTGAATATATTTTTGGGGTGCAAAGTTCAAAGCCCAAACCATCTCACCCCTGGATGTGACAGATCACGTTGGAGTCACAGATATTACAAGCACAGATTGCAGATCCAGGGTCAGGCACGGAAACTCACAATCTGAGCAGATTTAGAGGCTGTTTTTTTCCATATTGCTGTCACAAAGGGCAGAAAGGAGGAGGTTGCAACAGCAGCACATGAACCAGCTGTGTGAGAGACTGAGAGACACCCATCCAGGAATGGCAGAAACAGCCACCAAGGCTGGGCTGGTTCAGCCTGGCGCTGCTGGAGTTCCTGCTGATGGAAAGGGAAAGCCAGAGAGCCTCCTTGCAGGGAAACATCCTCTTCTTCACCCAAGACAAGGCTGAGGCTGGGTGCAGGAGCTGGGAGCTGCCACCCGTGTGGGCCTGTGTCCTCACCTGCTGTGGTGGCAAGAGAAACACAGCTACAGCAGAGACAGCACACCCCTCCTTGTGAGTAGGACAGAGAGGAGAGATGTCTGGGAGCTCCTGAGGACTGTGTCCCCACAAGTGTACTCTAATGGATGAAATTGGCTTTAAGAAACCAAGGGCTGCATAGGCACAAGCACAATCCAGGTCACCAATGCTCCTGGAGCTGTCCACATTTTCACATCCAAAGGGCTTGGATGACCTCTGAAAGCTTGCAGAATTGCAGCCAGTACTGCTGCTATTCCCAGTTAAAAGTGGGACTTCTAAAATGTGACACAGGAAGCCACTTTCTTCTCCTGTCCAGCTGGTGTGTGCTGAAGGTTTCTTTCAGCCCACTGAAGCCATCAGTGCTTGCAGGATATGGTTTTGGATTGATTTGGGAAGTGCTGCTACCCCATTACTACACTGTGTAGGCAGCCTGGCTAAGGGCAGCTTCCATACCCAGCTCAGTCTTCAATCCGTGTGTGACATCAGGCACACAGAGCTCTGAGGAGCAAATGACTCGTTTGGGATCACCCAGCTGGTCAAGAGAGGATCAGGAAGCAATCAGTGCCTCCCAGTCCCCATCATCCTGGCAGAACCCTGTTCCTGGAAGAGGAACAGTCAGGGATGAATCAAACCCAGCACACACTGCCCAGTAAAGGATTATGAGACACTAAAACAACCCAGCTACAGACCAGCCTAATGAAAGAGCAGCCAAAACCTTGTGTGGAAGGACCACTGAGAATCCCATCACATTCTGACCCCGGTAACATCTGCTCCATCGTTTTCAGTGTGATCACACAGAGCAGTCATGCGAAGGTAAAACACTTAATTAAAACACTAACGCTGCAAGCATTCACCTCCGTGTAGGCGTGGAAACCTTCAAGTTTCCTTTTTATTATACGGATGGGATCCTGCTTTTCATTGGCACAATAGAAAATGGCCACAAAAATTCCACACACACAGCATCAGACCCCGCGACCAGCCCCGACACGCAGAGCGTCAGTAATAAAACACACCCCTACAGGGATTTAGCACTTTGGCTCGTGCTCAGCTGGGGGACTTGGGCAGGACTTTCACTCTTCAGACATTAAAAAAATATTAATTATAATCAGCTCCGTCATTATTTCAACCCCTGCATCCCCCCTTCCCTGTTAGCAAAAGGAAGAGGAGCCATGTGTTGATGGGACTGTGGGTTTGCATGAACAGGACGGGGCTCTGTGTGTGTGTGTGTGTGCTGCGTGTGCCCTGGAAATCAAACAGCAGCTTCAGCAAGGGCATCCTGGGAAGGGCCCTCCGGTGCCAAAAGAGAAATTCAGGGAAACATTCCTTTATTAAAACAATTACAACAGCTGCTGCAGGTACTTCCTTATGCACACATGCAGGCACCCCTCCTTCCTGTCCATCACACACATCCCCTCTGCCTCACACACTCTTGCACAACCAGGTGACAATGTAATTTTTAACTCAAATCTATGCAGGACCCACAGCTCTCTTACCATACCTCCCTGGTGCATTTGTCCTACTCACCCTTATCCTTCCCAATAAATATCCTGCCCTGTCCTACCACAAGAGTCCCCAAAGTGTACACAACAGTGGTTTTGCAGGGGCTGCAAACCACAACAGGCACTGCAGCCAAAAGAGAAGGCCAGGGAGTACACAAGGTCTGAAAAGGCCAGCCAAGGCAAGAACTTCTCAGGGATTCCTGAAATTATCTCCTTTCCTAGAGAATATGTTTTACTCCCTTTCTAATTGTCTCTTCCCACAAACTGCAGTGTTGGTGTCCTGCAGCACGGTGTTTGAGTGAGGGGTCATGCACCCAAGTCCAAGAATTAGCTCACCACCTCCCCATAAAAGTGTGCAAAGCTGCTTCCACAGCACCTGGAAACTTTCTCCCCTAGGGTCCTGGTTAGACTAGTTGCAAGGTGCAATTCCTGAGTTTCCACTACATCCTTCCACTCACTGTCACTTTCTCCTTCCAGCTCTACTCCACCCACGTGTCTGAACTGTCCAGCTATGCCCTTTTATACGGTATCCAGTCCTGAAGCTCAACAGAGATGGTCTCCTTAGCTGTCTGTGTAGTGTCTACCAACACGGGGCTGTGATCCACAACTAAAGGCTTCAAAAGGAAAACTGCAAACCCATAATACCAAGGGCCATGCAACTATTTTGTCTTTCATTGAAAAGCTAGCAGGAAAATGCAGGCACACCAGGGTACCTCCTTTCTCTACACATACTCCCTTCCTTTACAGCTTACCTTCACTGCAGATAGAGTTTGGGAAGAGTATGGGGCTGCAGGCAGGACCACTGAGCAAGCCAGGCCATCCCTGCACAAGCTGTGTGGTGCCAGACACCTGTGCTTCCCACAGCTGGCTGCAGGGCTTCATCTGTAAATGGAGCCATGTGGACAATTATGAGGAAAATAGAAAACCCTGCTGGCATCATTTTCACCTTCAGTGCTGCTGCTGCTCACACCTTCACCTGGCCATGCACCCTGACACGGTCAAACAGGTACCAGATGCTGCTCTTCAGGTCTGATCTGCCTTTGCTTTGTGCAGGTGTTGGCAACCACACTGACACACAAAGCCAGGCAAAACCCAGCCTGTCCTGGAGAGCACAGCTCCAAGGGGATGCCCAGAGGCTGCATTTCACCTTGCAGGCACACCCTGCATGGGGCAGAGATGCTACAGCACATAGGGCAAAAGTCATCTTGCTCAAGGAAGTTCCTGACTTTCGTTATTGTCCATAGCTGGTTCATCCAGGGCAATGGTTTGTTCCTGTTCCAACCAGCTCTTTGTTCATTTTGGGCACACTAGGAGAAGCAAGACTGCACGCTCCTGGTAATTCCCACTTGGACGGGATGCCCTCTCTCTGCACACAGATGCCAGCAGGTTCTTCTGCCAGAAACAGAAGGGCATTTTGATCAAGAATCTGACTGATGAAGAAGACATTTGAATTTCAAGCACTTTTCTAGTTAGACTTGTTTGGGACAAACCACTGCAACTCATTATGCCTCAGCTTCTTCATATGGAAAATGGAAGGATATAAGAGTTCTGAAGCTCATAAAAATCTAAAAGAGACAAAGGTTAAATGGTTGCTAATAAAGTCCCCACTTGCCTCAGCAGCATCTGTCCAAATGTAACCGATCCACATGGCCTTGGAAAAATAGAGGCCAATAAGCAGAAAGAAAACTGTCTGACCTTCAAGACAGACATCCTGCTGTCACTGGAGGCTTGCAAAATGCTCAAGCACCTTTAAAAACAGCCCTTCAGCTCTGAGGTTTGAAGAGGGTAAAAGAATATTGGCTCATATTGGGATGCATAAAGATCTCTCAGAAACATGACACTTAGATGGGAAAAGCATTAATGTCTGAGAAATGTTTCAGTAGGGGCAGAAGGTTGGATGAAGCTGTGAAAGATCCAGCTCAGCAGCTCAGGCCATTGCCCAAAATAACCAGGGGGTGGCATGTGGGCTCCTCCCCCACCAAGCCCACCAGCAAATGCCCCAGCAATCCCAGCGCAAGCTCACCCCACATCAGGCTTTGCTGGGCATTGGTGGTGGACAGCACCCCACCCTGAGAAAACATGGGGCATTCTTGGCACTTGGCACCACAGGCAAGGTCATCAGACACGATGACAGATTCTTTGCCTGCCATATCCATGGAGGCATGCAGGGGAACATGATCCTGCCCTGAGCAAAAGCCAAGTTTGATTAGGGCTGATCGCTCCAAGATCCTTCCTGTGAGGATCTCAAAAAGAGGGATTTGCTTGCCACCCGTAACTAAACCCAAAGACAAGAACATGAAGGCCTGAGGGGATTTTGGCCAAGTCTCTCAAATGTACAGAGCAGAGTGGCAGAGCCCATGAGGACAGAAAGCCTTCCAGTCAGGAAGTAGAGTGGGAAGTGGCACTTCTCCCAGTGCCCTACTACCCAGAGCGCATAACCCACCACAAATGG